CTCAAATTCTATTATTACCAAATCTAAATCTTTTTATCTTTAATATTCCCTATATACAAATTAATAAATACAACAATTCAACCTCAATTCAAATAAATTACAAAGAAATTTTATCACTTATTCATATCTATAATATTATCAGAAACCAACTACTCCCTTAAATACTACCATAAATAAACCTAGCATCTTCTGAAATACAACTAATACAATAAACAATTAATTCATCTACTTACCAAAATCAATTAACTAATCTTTTTCAATCTATTAAAAATTTACATTCAAACAACTTATAGTTTTATATAGATGCTTCAATTAAAAATATACAAACCCCTAATATCTAAGTAGATATAGGTTAGATTTGCAACAATGATATATTAATTAAATTTAATACAGTATCCTCATCTTATTCTGACTCTATATGAATTGAACTATTTTCAATTCTCATACTTTAACTTACCATTCTATCAAACTTAGCTCTAACTATTTTCTTGGATAGCAAAATAGCAATCAAAAACTTATCATATACTCTTTCTACTAAACTAATTCAAAACAAAAATTGGGATATACTACATATCATCAACTCACTTAAAAAAACTAAAAATCTTACTTTTATACTAAATCACACTTTACAAACTCTTTTTATAATTAAGCAGATCTACTTGTCAAATAAAGAACTTCTAAATCTATTCTTGAACACTTCTTTCTTCCTTTTAATATCCCTACTTACTTCCTCTAGAATAATTACTTTATACTATTCAAAATTCACTTCTTTATTAAATCTATAATCACAATTTAAGAATTCTTATCTTGAACTTCACTAAAATTTTTTTAAAACAATATAGAAACAAAATAGGCTTTAATATTTAAAATATTAAACTCTCTAGAACACAATTCTCAAATATAAACTTTTTGTTTAAAAATCTTACCAAACAATCTACTAATAATGCAAAATCTAAATATCTGCTATCCTTACTTATACACAACTTCTAACTGCATATAATACCTAACTACAGAAGATACTACACATATTCTTCTCTGTACTAAAAATATACTAAACATTCAACAATTATTAATTGATATAATTAATAATATTTTAACTTTTTTTAAAATCTTAACAATTACATTTAAAACAAACTAGGTGATTTTGATATAGGCTAGTAGCAGCCTCTTGTTGACTAAGAGCTAGAAATTTGTATATACAAATTTAAACTCTTACGAGAGAAATAGTTGCTACAGCAGATTGTACTTAGATGCTAAAAGTAACTGAGTGAGTTCAGATTAGTTTTAGAAAAGTAGTTTGCTGTAAATAGTATAGCATTTTACTTGTAGCTTAAGTTAGCTTATTCTTAATAAAATAATGGACAAGATCACCTAAGTAAAAAAAAAAAAAAAAAAAAAAAAAATCTCAACAATTACTACACAAATACTCCTTAATATTCTTTTACATTTTACATTAAATATCTCAAATTCACAATATTACTATATACTTTTATCAATAACTAGCAACTTTCTACTTACAATATATACTAATATTAAAAATATTGTTCAAAAATAAACAGATTTCTTTCTTACAAATCTATTAATAATCTACCTAAATAGCTCTACACTAAAATATAGTCTTAATGAAACTACTACTAACACTAATAAGAAACTGCTCAAAATATTACTAAAAAAACTAAATGTATAAAATTTTCTTATCTAAAAATATTCAATAAATCAAATACCAATATTATATCTACTCAAATTACAAATTACAAATCTAAAATTGAAAAATATTTTCTACAAAGATTTTCATTAACAAATTGTATATTATAATATTATGAATAATATCTCAGGTTCTCCCTAATATATCTTAGCTAAAAACTAATTTGAAATAATTAAATATAGCATAAATTAGGAAATAGGAGATGTAATATTACATTGGATGCCTTAAATTTAATATAACATAAATATAGATAAAAATCTTTAAATTTTGAACATATGTTCTAATTTTTTTAAATAAAGTTTCTACTATAGCATTTTAAAAAAAAAAAAAAACTTTTAGTTCAAATACTCAATCTCTTTTTGATAATCCTTCATATTAATATTTTCACAAAATGCTAACCTATAAATATTATATAGTTAGTATATTTTTATACAATAAAACTTTGCTAAGGCTTCAGATTGCATGTAGACAATATGAAATAGAGTTAAAAAAGATTATTTCTTATAAGTTTAGCACTCTAGTAGAAGTTTACAAAGCTATTAAAAAAGTAGCTTTAGCAAAAACTAAAGAAGTTCTTATCAAGTTATATTTATGCAATAGCAAGAGTATAGACTTACTAGATATCTAATTCTATATAATATATACTCTAACAAATCTTTATTATTAATACTTTTATATATACACCCTTTTCTTTATTATTTGGCTTTTAGAGTATTTTTTCTCACAAAAAGTAGCAATGCAGCTTATACATTCAAAACTATCAGTAATATTTACTCTATTCAAATTAAGAACATATCTACAAAATTGAAAAATATATTATGTGAGCTTTTAGTACAAATTGATAATAACATATTAGTGATGTAAACAAATATATGCACAAATTTTATAGTATTTATTTTGGTATTCTGTCCTTTACATTTCTAGTAAAGTTTCTATACTACTAAATTTTATTATAGTATATAATAGATATAGAGTAAAGCTTAGTCTATTTAGAATACTATATAATTTTTTCTCTGTTATAACATTTTGTTGTATTTTTTTCTTTCTTTTTGTTCATATATATTAAGACTGCAATAGTCTTTTTTTTACTTTTTTCATCTGTTTCTGTTTCTTTTACTTTTGCTTCTTAAATAGTTTAGCATTTATTCTTTTCTATTTTTTATTTTTTTATTTTTTTCTTGTTTTCTATTTTGCCTTTTTTGTATAACTATTTTTTCTTTATTCTGCTAGAATATAGGTAGGAAAAGTTTTTAAGAAAAGACTAGGTAGTCTTGATATAGGATGGTAGTAGCCTCTCTAGGATTAGGTGCATGTAGACTATTATATAGTTTAGTACTCTTTTGAGGAAAATAATTACTGCAGCAGATTGCACTTGAGCACCTCTAAGATAGTTGAGTGAGTCTGGAATTGCAATAAGAAGAGTAGTTCTAAAAATTAGAATAGTTTTATTTTTATTTTTTTTGTATTTGTCCAGATACTGTTTCAAGTATTCTCCTAATAAAATAAAGAGCAAGATTGCTTAAGTTTAAAAAAAAGATATTTTTAACTTTATTTTAAATAAAATTAAAATAATTAAATAAAATTATAAAATAAGTATTGCTAAAAAAATTATTTAAACTTAAAATTTTATAAGCTTAATAAACAATTTTTTTGAATAATATTTACATCATCTAATTTTAAATTTATTATATAAATTATACTAATATTAAAATTATTACTTTGCAGACTTTCAAAATTTGATATTAAATCAATTACTGAAATATTATTAAGTTCATTTTCTTCACTATTTGAATTATTATTATCTAATTGTATTTCAATATACATATTCTTTTAAAATTTAAATAAATTAAATTTTTAATTTAATATTATAAAAAAAAATTTAAATTTAAAAAAATTTACTATTTATCATTTAAAATAAAAAAGAAAGTAAAAATGTTATATGTATAAATTTTGATTCTAATATATTGTAGATTTTGACTTGATCAAAAAATTATCAATTTTTACTTATATATTTTTTATATTAAAAAATCTTTTTAACAAATTTATATATATAATATTTATTTATTTAAAAAATGAAATAACAGAATTTAAAATATACAATTATTTTAATATATTAAATACTATTGCTATAAATTCAAATACTAATGAGACTAATTAAAATTAAGAAATGATAACACTAAGAATTATATTTTTTTCATGATATATCTTTAAATATGTTGTATTACAGATAAATTCTTGTATGTGATAGTAATTTTATTTAACTTGTGGTAATAGAATTACCTTTCTAACCTTTACTCGAAAGTTTACAACATCATTAACAATTGAGGTTATAATCAATAATAGTTACGCAAAACAATAATTGCTTTCAAGTATAGATTGTTACACGAAACCTGCATAATAAATTATATTTTATGCGTTATCATAGATATGCGTGCATATTAAAACTGCATCAACAAATAAACTATACTTCACATGATGTGTAGACTCAATTGCGAAAAGGTATCCTCGTGATAATACCTCTTGCATAACTATCATGATTGCAATGGGTTATTTCTAAATTAAAAACTGGTAACGATAAGTGGGAACAATGACAACAAAAATAACGATCCATATAACGACAATTTATGACAAACGGAAAAAGTTTTTTTTTTTTTTTTTTGGATCACTTCTACTGTTTTATTATTTCGAAGTTTAGAATTACAAGGGTTATATCTTTTATTCAGGTAAATTTCAACCGTTTATATACATATGGGCTAGGTGCTGGAGAAAAGGACCAAATTGACAATTTTTTCGAAATGAATTTTTTAAACTTAACTAATTTAAAATTAGCTCAGGAATATTTTTCACTTAAGAAAGAAATACTGGTGCATTAATAAAATTTTATAGTACAGTATAATCTTTTGAAATTTGTATTTTCCTATAAGTTAATATAAATTTTATAATTTAAAAATCAATTTCTCGCAAAATCTATTTTTGTTAATTTGGTCACTTTCTCCAGCACCTAGCCCATATAAATAAAATTTTAAATTTGCTAAAAAAAATTTCTTAATTTACAAAATATTCTCAAATGAAAATAGAGATGATACGTAATAATTTGACTTGCTTGGAAATTACGGAACCGAGGATCTATATTGCCATGAGGCGACCCAAATTAAATTACGATAACTACTTTTTATGCTATCACATCCATTCAATAAGATGATTTGACTGCTGCAGTAATAGAAGTAAATTTCCCTCATTATTCTATTTAAAATAAAGGGTTTCAAATGAATAAAATTATTCTTAAAAATAATATTCAAAGGCTTAAATTACCTTGAGCCGCATTTTTTGGTAGTGGTAGATTATTAAATTGGTAAATACGACTTTTATTTTGTATATCAACTAAGAGTAGACTCTCGTCCTGGTCAGTAATTAAAAGAGGACTCTTATCTTTTTCAACAATTAAAGGTGAACTTTTAATTTGCTCGGCGATTAAAGGAGTGCTATTAGACTCTTTAGTAGTAGATAACTTTTTGTTCCTTTGACACTTAAATTTAAACCAATTTAGTAATTTCTTTTTTCTAGATATTTTAAATGGAATAAGTTTTAATTTTTTAATAATGCCATCATTTTCGTATATTTCTTTAAGTAGGTTCTCTATTTTTTTCATAACTACTTGAGCATTAGGTCTATTATCCGGATTTGCATCCCAACATTTAACCATTAAATCGACATAATCAGCTGGGGTTCCTTCAATAACTTTAGGCCTCATTCCATTAATTATGTCAAGAGCAAGCTCATTATCAGATTTTTTCATTTGATCATAAAAAGGTGGCCTGCCTGAGGTTATTTCCCACATGATCATTCCTAAACTATAAATGTCTGACTTTATTGTATAAGAATTATTATATAATACCTCTGGAGCGATATATGTGAGATTACCATAAATTTGACTTGAATTTTCTAATGGCAAATATAAACCGAAATCACTAACTACGCAATGAGGTTTAGATTCATCAACAAGAACATTTCTAGAATGTAAATTTTTATGGATTGCTTTTTGATTATGTATTTTTCTAATTCCATTTGAAATATTTCGTACTATTCTAAATTTAATTTTCCAGGTTAATTCAGTTTTTGCGAGAAAATCATTCAAGTTATTATCCATATGTTCAAGAACAATCATGATATCTTGAGTTTCTGGATTTCTAGTTAGTCCATAACATTTTATAAGTGATTGAGAAAATTTTTCAAGTGTAAGACTTGAAATAATCTAAAAGCAAAAATAAATAAATTATATTTAGTAAGTATATAAATCAATTGATATGAAATTTTATTTCCTAATTCTTTTAATTTAACTAATAACTTTTATATATTAACTTATACTCAAGTTCACAATTCTAGCTTTTATGTTTTACAAAAAGTCAATAGAAGTTACCAGCTAATTATAAATCAGATTTATTATTAACACTATTATGGGCGATACTTGTTATTTCCCTAAATAAGGTTCCACTTAATTTGATACGTATTACTTTGTAGACAATTATAATGCCGACACCCTATAAGAAAAGGTGTCCGGGAACTTCCAGGAACTGTAAAATCAAAAATCTCATCAAAATTAATTCCGTAGAAAATTGACCAATTCGCAGACATTCTGTATATATTCTGTATACAAATTTTTATCAGGAATTACTAATTATGCATCAAAAAATATATGGATCTATACGGAACGAATGTCAAATTTTTATCTTAATTTTCAAGATGCTAACTTCTCTACATATTAAAATTTATGAAATTTATTCACATTTCATGATACTAGGGATAGGCAAGTAATTTATTAAGTAATAATCACTTAAATTTATTGTTTAATTAATATTAAGTAATATTATTAATTTTAAGTAAATTCTTGCTTATTACCATCACATGATGATAACTGTAAAAAATGATTGAGATTCGCTAGAAATAGAATGACTTATAATTACTTATCTTATAATTAAAATCGCATCTGAATTATTTCCGTATAAATTGGGCCAATTCCGCAGACATTTTGTATAAATTCTGTATATAAATTTTTCAGGAATTACTAAGAAACTTTGAATCAAAAATTATGTGGAATCAATACAGAACCGATGCCAAATTTTATTTTTGAGAATAAATCAAAATACTAACTTCGCTACATATTAAACTTTGTGAAAATTTATTCACATTTCATAATACTCATGTTATATATGTAAATTATCATGCTGAGCATTTTTTTATTAATATTTTCTTGCCAATTTGATTAATAAAAATTTTCATTAAAATCATTTAAATATTAGTAAAAATCAAAAAAAATTTTTACTATTTAACACAGGTAGAACAATAAATCTTTTCTACATGTATTCTTTCAAAAACCTTTAGTGTGCTATGCAACTTTTTCAAACTTCTAAACAATTTCTAACATTTTAAATTACATGGAAAAGATTTAGATATTATAGAAAATATTTAGAAAATTGCATATTACACCAAAGTTTTTTGAAAGAATACTTGTAGAAAAGGTTTAACGTTCTACCTGTGTAAGCAATAACAAAATTTTTTATTAAGAAAATCTGCAGAAGCATATTAATAAAAAATGTTCAGCATGATGAATTATATATATAGCGTAAATATCATAAAATATAAACCATTTTTTATAAAGTTTAATATGTATTGAAATTAGTATTTTGATTTTTTTCTCAAATATTTGACATTGGTTCCGTATTGTATACAGAATATATACCGAATGTCTGCGGAATTAGCCCCCAATTTATACGGAAATAATTCCGATGCGATTTTTATATTACAGTTCCTGAGCAGTTCCGGAGCAGTTCCGGAGCAGTTCTCGGACACTTTTTCTTTATAGAATTAATGTTCAAAAAATCAGATAATGTTAAGTAATATTAAATAAGAATACATAATAAATTTGCTCCATCTCTACATGATACTCATGTTATATTAATATACTCTTGCCAATTTATTTAATAAAAAATCCATTTAAATATTTATAAACCTGAAAATTTTTAAACTTGATAATTTTTGCTCGCTACCGAATCATTCTCAGGTTCATCCGGTAAATTGCCTAATCTCTCGGAAACTATATCACTGTCTTCGGATCCTCAGTCTGAAGACAACGACATAGTTTCCGAGAGATTAGGAAATTTACCGGATGAAACTGAAAATGATTCGGTAGAGAGCAAAAATTATCAGGTGTCCCAGAAATAATGATAACAGCTGCAAGCAGCTATAACAAAATTTTTTACTAAATAAGTCTGCAGAAGCATATTAATAAAAATGTTTTGTATGATGAATTATATATATAGCATGAATATCATAAAATATAAACATCATAAAGTTTAATATGTAGTGAAATTAACTTTCAAATTCAGATAAAATTTTGGCATTAGTTCCGTATTGATTTCATATAGTTTTTGATGCAAAGTTCCTTAGTAATTCCTAAAAAGAATTTAATGTGTACTGAATGTCTGCGGAATTGGGTCAATTTCAACGAAATTAATTCTGATGCAATTTTGATATTAGATTTCTTGAGCAGTTCCTGGACACTTTTTCTTATAGTGAGTATGAGAACCAAGATACAGGTATTATATACCGATTGCAAAGTTCGGCTTTCTTAAGGTTAATTAAAATTAAGGTATATTTTTACATTTAAGCAATTTTATAAGATTTGTAAAAAATAACCTTAAGAAAATCCGAATTGATTAATCGCGTATAATACCCTAATTAACACTTTATTGAGAAAATCCCATTCCAAATAATTATTTTAATGGTACTTACATGTCTAAACCAGAGTTCATCAGCAATCCCAGAGTTCTTTAAATTTCTGAGGATGTAAGATCCTTCACCACATCTCTTTAATTCTTGATTTTCAGCATCCCATTCTGTAAATGGACCATTTTCCCATATTGCGACATATAATGAAGAAAAGCTTCCTTCTTCCTTAAATTCAACATTTTTAAAACTTTCAAATGGTATCCATTCAAATATATCTGAAGGAGATACGGAATTAATTTGACATTCTTGTATTAATTCATCAAGTTTAATATTTCCAGTTGTCCATTTATTAGAATTTCTTTGTAAATAATTTCTAATACAACGTTCACAATATGTAATTGCGATAACTTGATTATTACAATATGCACATGTTCTTCTTTCTCCAATATCACCAATTATATTTTGCGCATCTCTGATTTTTATTAGTTCATTTATTAGATATTGTTTTTCATGTTTCGTTAGGTCTGTATGGTTTATGACTGTGTTACAGATAGATTTAAATATTTCAGGCGGGTTTAAATTATCATCTTTACAGATTATTCCTCTTTGTCGACAATCAGAAATTACATCTTTTCGAATAACCTTGACTTTCATACTTTCAAAAAAGTATTAAAGAATTTCGTTTTTGAAACCTTCATATATACCTGCGATATTTTCTTCATTAAGCTATTGATTTCACATTTAACGAATACGTATTCATACATGTATAATTCCAAATATAAATCGCATATCGATATCTAAAAAAAACTTTGATTCTGCAAAAGCTTGATAAAATTGCAAGGAACAATCTTTTGTATTTGTTAAAGTAACACAATTATTTATTTTTTCGTGTAACAAAACTTTTTTATTGCTGTTTCTTTGTTTCTTATCAATAAAGCACGAAAATTGTCTAATAAAAGATCTTTATTAGTAATAAACTGCTTCTAAAAACCTGAATTTTGTTTTATATAGAAACGTTGGCAAACTCCTTGATATGATTGGATAAGTTATCAGAAATACACAAAATTAGGTGGAGCAGAACTATGTAATACAACTTTTCGCCTTATCAGTTACGTAATTAATATATTTTTAGACGATCATAATTTAAAAAAAATAACTCAGAATTAATCTTATCGTTATACATATGAGTGCGTAAGAGTGAAAACCTTGAAACCGATCATAGTAAATCATTAAATCGGTTTCCAGGTTTTCACTCTCACGCACTCATATAATAAAGTATTTATGTAATTAAAAAAAAAAAAAAAAAAAATTGTATTAAGTAATCTTAAACTTCTGGAATATATAACAATAAATTAGTTGTAATTTAGCGCGACTTCATTACGCTGTTGACCAACAATTTGTAATGACGGCCAATTTACTTCTCCAAAATCCCGCACGGAATAGAAACTAACCGCAGGTTTTTTTACAGCTGTTTTCATAAATTCTGTGAATAATTATATGCTGATTCGATATGATAAGCTTTTGATTTTGGACGTGATCAATTTGATCATGTCCAAAATCAAAAGCTTTTAATACTGAAATAAAAAACTTATCAGACGTCCCACAAATTAAGAATCTCGTGCGGGATCATCACTAGTTGCGCGTGATTAAAATGTCGATTCCTCATCATCCTACTATACTAGGAAAATAGAAATTTCGTTTTCGTTTTGCAACGCGATGTTTATTGTATGCGCAATCGTGTTAACAGTTGGCATATTGTGATTCCCATACGTTCTTTGGGTCTTATAACGATTGCCCTATCGGGAGTTCTACAGGTATACGGTTTTCGAGGTTAACACTATCCTAAAATTTACTAACGAAACTAACAACTCATTCTACAATTAAACAAAAAGATAATTGTTCATCGCAGAACAAAAAAAAAAAATTTAATTTATTGAAAACTAAAAAAATTTTGTCTAAATTTAATTCCTTGAAAAGTTTTCCTAGAGTACCAATATATAAATTTATTATTATACATACGTATGTATAGAGTATTTCAAGCTATATCTGATATAGTAGAAATTTTAATATGATTACGTTTTATTAATCAATTCTTTCTTAGCCAAAAACCATACTTGTTAAGAACAAAATATGCAAAACGGCTAAAATATAGGGTTGATGAAAAATAAATAAATTTAAAGGATGATTATTTTAAGATATGAAGCAATTGACTTGTGCAATAAATGAATGCCCTATGTTCATCCTTCAACTCCAATTCATAACAATATCCAACATTGTACGTCCCACTAACATTACCCTCGACTATATATATATACAATTTTAATGTATCCCTTTTTGACAGTAATGTTGATCATTAATACAACAATAACAAGGAAGATTTGTCATACAGGTCTCGTTCAATTTAGCTCCCCATAAGGTTTTTATGCCAACAGAGGAGGATTCTTCGTTCGATCTACTTTGAATGATATTTACATATTTATCCTCAATATTGATAGTACTTTCAACTAAAGCTTGACGTTGACTCATATTAAATTTATTCATCGTATCTCTAGCAGTAATGCAAGGTCCGATTAAATTATCTAAGTTATATTCCTTGATAAGCGCACTTACTTTATCCAACGCTGTTGAGTCTTTAGCTAGCTTTTCATATATTCGCATCACTGCTGGATCATTTGAATATTCAAAAACTAGATAATTATCTCCATTCAAAATCCAACTTGCGGGACACGAATCACTTGGAGAATCGGCCGATGTAATTAACGCAGGTTTGCCTTTATAGTTATCAACAAACTTCTCAACCATAGCTTGTCCATCTTTCAAAGGTATATTGTGGCTATGGAGTAATCGAACTCCCAATTCAATACCATATTCTCTGGTTAAAGCAATAAATCTGTCTAAGAATTCATTAAATTCGGAATCTTTTTTCTTTAATTCATTATTTGCTGCATCAGGAATTTGTAAGTTATTGTATTTATCCAAGTTATATTCATTTAAATTTACCATGTTATGATAATAGTTTTTTTTTTTAAAAAATATATATATTTCTTGGCAAATTTGTTCCCTATAAATAATCTTTAGATTATTACTATCATCTTGAATTGATGCTTAGATTTTCTTTTTTTCATCTTAGTTAAACCTTTGCTAAAAAAGGTATTAATGGCGTATTTTATTAAACATTGTGATTGTGTTCCTTTTTTTTTTTTTTTTTTTTTTTTTTTGTAAACATGTTATCGATTATTCAAATTTCCAATTTCGTATCATTCATTATGGAATATTGCGCAACATTACTATATATGAAATGAAATTTTTTAGTATGTTGTGGGGTATTTGCATAAATTTTTGTGTATCGGTAAATATTTGATTTTTTTTTGCTTTTCTTGCGAAATTCTATTTTAAAGAAACTTGAAATTAAACCTCGTTTAACTTTATTTTTTTAAAAAATTTGCATGGGAGGAGGGGAAAAATTAAACAATAAAATTAAACTAGGTTCAAGTGAACCAAACTTAGGTTCATCGGAACCTAAATCAGGTTAAAGTTGAACTTAAAGATGATTAACTAGAATTTTTTTTTGTTTTTTTATTAATTGTTTAATTTTGGGAGAGACCTGTATGTTGGGGGATAACGTTAAACGAATAGCTAAATAAAATTTTACTGTACGAACATACATATAAATAGTGATGGGCAAATCGCTGGTTTTCCAAATATCCCACGCGGGATGCGGCTTACGCGCGTGATGCGCGGGATAGAGATTACATTATAGGTTTCTTACTGTTTTCATAAATTCTGGGACATCTGGCAAAAAATGGTCCGAACAAATATTGCCGGTTCGATAAGTTTGTGATTCGACAGTGATAAACTTTTGATTTGGATGTGAATTACTACCGAATCACAAACTTATCGAACCGGCAATATTTGTTTGGACCATTTTTTGCCAGATGTCCCAGAATTTATGAAAACAGCTGTAAAATTTTTAATGCGGACCGGCTGGCCTGAATTAGGGAACATATTAAAAATCACGCGCATGCTGTAATAGGGAAATCGCCACTCCGGAAAATTGCTGCGGTCTCGAGGTTACACGATCTGGTTATCCGGGAGATCCCAGGTATAAGCGATATCCCTGAGATATTTGTTATATTGAAATTGTAAATATATTATATATACAGTATTAGTTATACTAGTTTTATTAAATATATTAAATATATTAAATATATTAGTGATAGTTGATATATTAGATATAGTAATTATATTAGGGATTTTTAAACCTTGATATCTTTATTATATTTTCTGTTAATTAAAATTTTGTATATAAGTGTTTCAAAATTGTTTCAATAAAAAAATCAACTCTTAGAGTTTGAAAAGGTAAAACCTTCGGAGTCTTGAATAGTCTTGAATAGAAATGTTTATCTCTGAAAATAAATTCCTCTTTGAAATTCTTATAAATTATTTTGTTAAATTATTATCTTGTTTCTGTGATAATTTTTTGTTAAATACAGTTTCTAGTTATAGTTAAAGTACTCAAATTATTCTATTGCATACTCTTTTATAGTACTTTAAATTGATTAAACAATTTATTAGGTTTGTAATTATCATAATTGATTTATCAATAGTTTTGTATCTGTGATAACCAAATTATAATCAAATTGTTACTAAACCACATTATCAGATTTTTATTATGCAATTTGTATGTAGAAATACTATACAAATCAGAATAGTTTTGCTATATATAAACTATGTCTAGTATATAAAAAGTATATATATATATCTATATATTAATCTTACTAATATAAACTATATATAAAAATACTATGTAGATTTTTTACAGTACAATATTGATACTATTACAGTATTAAATACTTATAAATTATTATTTTATAAAAATTTTATAATTAAAAAAATTAAAATTACAATATAAAATAAAGAAACAATACAAAACTAACAAAAAGTACAAAAACAACTGAAAAAGTATCTAAAGAAATATAAAAAAACTACTAAAGAAATGATAAAAGAAATTATAGAAAAAATAATAAAAGAATTTAAAAAAAGAAAAAACTTATAAAAGATAACAAAAGATTCTACAGAAGATATGTAAAAAAATCTATTAAAGAAACAAAAAAATAACTACTAAAAAATAATAAAAGAAACTTATTTCTATATTAACAACTTAAAATAATAATACAAGTAATATTAAAATTTTGAAATTATATTTATACTAAGTAGTAATAATACTACTATATAGATAAAAGCTTAAAAGATAACACTAATGAATAATAAAAAAACTAGACAAAAAAAGTAAAATATAAAAAAATTTTAGTAAAATATAAAAACAATAAAAAAGTAAGTAAAAAAACTAATAAAATATAGAAAAAAAATGTTAAATATTTGTTTATATTGCAAATTGAATATAATTAGCTAATCTATAATAACAAATATTTTGTTTAACATATAGTTCAAATTCAATCTAATCTGAACTAAATTCAGATTTAAAAGAATCTAATTATTGATAACCAAATTCAGATTTAAAAAATTCAAGTTTAGGTTTAAGGATCTAATTTTAACAAAATTTAAATTTGAAAAAACCTAAATCTAAGTATGAAAAAATCTAGATCTGAGTTTAGAAGAATCTGAATTTGAATTAAATTTGAAATCAAAATAATCTAAATTTAGATCAAATTTAGGTTTTAAAGAATTTGAATTTGTATTCTAAGAAACCAAAATCTATACTAATTCAAATTTAGAAGAACTTGAATTTGAATTAAATTCATGTTCAGAAGAATCTGAATCTAAATTAACTTCAGATTTAAAAAATCTAATTTAGACTAAATTTAGATTTAAAAAAATTTAAATCAGAACTAACAAGTAGATATTTATATATTATATATAGTAACTATATCTCTATATTTATTATATAGTAATTATAGTCTTGAGTTTAGATATATATATATAAATAATATGTATTATATATATATATTTAATAAATATATATATTTATATAATTATTTTTTTTTTTTTTTTTTTTAGATGAGGTTTTGCTCTTATCTTTATTGATAAACTTGTTAGAGAAACTACATGAAGTTGCTCGGAGTTATAAATTTAGATACAAGAATAAAGCTCAGACTATAGAAAGAAGAACTAACTAATTTATCTGCAATCTAAATCTATTAGAATGGTTAAAACTTATCTAGATTTGGATGTTTAGAATGTAGTTAGTAGGAGTACTGTATTTAATCTATATAGAGGACCAAATATTAATTTTGCAGAGGACTAGTCCTTTTGGAAAACAAGAATTGGGATTTGTATATTGTTGATCAGGGAGACCACAAATACAATTAAATATAAGTTGTGTTCAGGAATATAGTAATAAGTTTCAAAAGATAGAAGAAGAAGTTTGAGAAGTTGAATGTCAAAAGATGTTGTGTGTATTTTTCTAATTAGATAGGTTCAGACAGTATGGCTTTCAGGCCTGCTCGTATAAATTGTGAGATAGCTTGAGTAGTAGTTTGATAGTTATATATAATACTATTTGTATGAATTAGTGTATAGATTTATAGTATTGATTATAGCTTTAGGGACAAAGCCTTGTAATGTGGAGAAAATATTAGCTTGGTTAAAAGGAGTATTAGATAAGAATGATAAGCAGATATATTGAAGGAGTTGTTGTTAGAGTTAATTTATTTCATAGAGTTGTAAGTCTAATAGAGAAGAGGTAATAATCTGTTCGATAGTTTGTAATAAGATATGAGAAGCAGATATGGCATTAGGGCAAGTAATCCAGTGGAAGCTGTATTCATAAGAGTTGCATGAAATGCAGTTATTAGTTGGATATAAGTAGGGGTATAGGTTGTGAAGATTAAAAATAGAAGTGAGAGAGTTTAGAAGGTTTTTTATACAGAATAATTTTGCTTGACAAGTTTGAAAGTCTGTATAGTTGTAGATTTGTTTGTGATTGTTATTGAGGAAGAGCCATGTAGCATTTCAGTTAATTTGATGAGATATTGGTATAATATGGCAAATGCGATTTTGAGATGACTACATAGCAATAAGGTAAGCATTGCAGATATTTTTAATAGAGCAGTGAGTTGGTTGTTCAATATTAAGATTGTTATATTGGAAGAAGTATGATAGATTATATAGATTGTCCTGTTTGAAGTCTAAATAGTTGAGAGATGTATTGTTTTTAGCAAGAGAGTCAGAGAGATTATTAAAAATATCATCTTGGTATGCAAAAACTTTGTAAAATATGATATTGAACAAGAAGGATTTGATTAAGTTGAGTAGAATATGCCAAATAGGCTAGTAGTTATAAGAGTATATCTTGTTAGATTAAGGAGGTTGTGTAGTAATTTTGGTATATTTTGATATTAACAATCACAATTTCTTGAAATCAGTATTCATATTCGACTTCAACAACTATAAAACAATCTTTGGTCACCTACTAATATACTTCATCACTCTAATCTATTAATTGACAGCAAAGACAAAAATACTACTACATTTAAGATTATCTAACTACTTCTATACCTTAACATGACCATTCACATAGATTCAAATCTCTCCTATTCATATACTCTTAACTACTCTTATACACTAATTGAAAACTTCCTCAACAATCACTCCCAATACATCTCCTTCAAACAACAACTACCTACTAAAAAAATCATGTTTCTCAAATAGCTTACATCTTCTGATAACACAATACTCCTTGACTAGACTCATATCTCTACACGTATCAAATATCTTCCTACTGGCAGAAAACTAAAATAGTTTTCTATACTTGAAAATACTATTCTTACTGACTCTTCGACTCACACAATCTCAAATCAAATAATACTTTCAGATATAAATACTCTTTCTCTTACTACTAGTCACTTTTCAAACAAACTATCCTCCTGGCTCTTCACATATGATGATAATAATATAATTATTGGGAAAGCACATCACTTTAACTACTCTACTAACACTATTTCTATAACATATTGGCAAACAAATATTGACCTATCTATAAC